GAGCTTCGACCACGACAACGACAAACATAATCTAGCACTGCCACACCGTGCCTGCAAGGAATCGGGCGCGGACATCAAGCGCGTTGAAATACGTGCCGAAGATCACCATCGACTCCGCGCCCATAATTTAGAGAACCAGTCGGCCACTGTAGAGGACTCACAGCACCCGAAAGGAACAAGTCGATGCCCGTCAGCGCGAAGGCAAGCCAGCCGCTGATGAACTGCCTGGCAGTGTGGGGCTAAAAACCGGCAGCAGACATCCCAACCACAATAACAGATAGTGGCCTAAATTATCAGAATGGGCATCCCAAGCCGCGCCTTGAACTGAGGAACCAGCTTCACATCAGACGGCAACGATCGAGAATGCTCACCACCTCCATCCAAACAGTATGATAACGCGGTGCGATATATCAAATCAGTCAACGAAGGCAACGACAAAGAACATCTGGAAGTGCGTCGGAGAGACATCAGAACACTTGCGAAATAAAACCAACACGATGTAAAACGGCACGTGAGAACCGAGCCATGCGAATTCACGTCAAACTGTATAAACAGCTCGTCAGCCCTGCAGGCGTACTGTAGGATCAAACCACTATTGCGATTGTGTGCTGAGCCATGAACTGGAATGAGGTCCTCTGCCCCGCAAGCGTGCAATCGTAGAACATGTAGTCGATAGTTCCTGCGCCCATCAGGGCAGTCTGGGCCATCCAGCCTCGCCCCAAACCGGATGGCCCCCGAGGCGCCGCCTCGCCTCCCCAACCGCCTTCACCCCGGGATGCCTCGGGGCGGCTGGATCAACAGCGCCGGGGACCCGGCGGGATCCCAGAAACCCGCAGGGCCAGCCTCGCCCGGCGGCCGGAGGTCCAGGCGCGGCCGGCGCCGCAATCGCCGCGCGGCCGGCCGCGGCAGGCGCCGCCGCTGCCGCGGCGCCGCTGCCGGCAGCCCCGGCGGCGAGGCTGGCGGCGCGGGCCAGGGCCGCCACGGCCACCCAGAGGCCCGCGGCGGCCGCGGCCTCGCCGGCGGCGGCGGCGGCGGCGACGCAGGCGGCCGCCGCGGCGGCCCGAGGGGCAGCGGCGGCCGCGGCCAGGGGCGCCCCCGGCAGCGCGGCCGCCGCCGCGGCGGCGCCGGCCGCACCGCCAGCAGCAACAGCGGCAGCAGCGCCACCCGCGCCGGGCGCGCCGGCGGCCGCCGCGTCAGCCCGCGGCGCCAGCCCCGGGGGCGGCGCCGCGCGGCGACAAGCGGCCGCGCGCCGCTGGCGGCGGCGGCGGGCCGCAGGCGACTCCGCAAGCCAACGGGCCGCGCCGGCGGCGCGGGCAGGGGCGCCCGGGGGCTGGCCCGGCGGGCGGGGGAGGAGGGAGGGCCGACCTCTGTCCCCACCCCCGCGGGCGGGGAGGCCCCAGGGGCGGCCCCCGGCCGCGGCCGCGCAAGCCGGCTCGGCCATCTTGAGCCAGAGCGGCTTGAGTCAAGGGGGGCTACGGAACTGGTGGGGATGCGCGAAGCGTCTGAACTTCTGTCAGGGGGGTCAAAAACCAGGGGACCCCTCCCGCCCCTTGACGCCCCTTGGAAAAATCTTCAGGGGGGTTAGACACCAGGAGAACCCTTCCCACCCCCCCGACCCCCCCTTCCCCCCCCTGCGGCAAAGAACTGGGAGGTTTGGGCCCCAACCCTCCCCGCCCCCCAGGACAATTACCCGGGCGGCCCAGACGCCCTTCCCCTTCCCCTTCCCCGGGGAAAATCACGTGGAGTGGGCCGGAGTCCCTCCCCCACCCCTGGCGCCGCCGCTGACGACGACGCCGACGACACAACGACACCGACGACACAACGACGACAACTACAACGACGACGACGACGCCGACGACAGCACAACATCAGCAGCGACGATTGCGGCGCACCTGGCGCCGGCGCCCGCGCCAGGCGCCGGTTATTGCAGAATCCTAGGAGGGCTCGATCCAGCTCTGTGATGACGGCTCGACCCACTTCTCATTGCATCCTATTAGGGTTCGCCCCACCTCCCACATAATCTGACTGAGGCTGAACCTAGCTCTACTACAATCATACTAGGGCCGCGTCCAGATCTGATAAGATTCTACAAAAGGATTTGGTCCAGCTCGAACAGGATTCTGCTACTAGGACTGGGTCCAAGCTCTTATCGAGTCCTGGAAAAGCTCGGTATCGCTCTGCTGGGTCTTTGTAGGGTTGCATCCACCTCTAATCGAATCGCGCAACAGGCTCGATCCAGTCCTGATAGCATCCTGCTGGGGCTCGACCCAAACCTAAAACAATCCTGCCAATAAGGCTGGATTGAACTCGAATAGAACCGTGTGGGGCTAGATACAGCTCTGATAAAGCCTCTACTGACTTGGATCCACCTTACATAACATGTCACCGGAGCTGGGTCCACCTCCAGTGGAATCCCGCAGAGGACTCCATCAAGCACTAATCGAATCCTATCACAAGGCTTGTAACAAAGCCTAACTAGGACCCGAACGAACTGCAATCGAATCCTACAGGGTTTGACCTGGCTCTTGTAGAACCGTACGAATGTTGGATCTAGCTTAGTTGGAATCCTACATCGGGTGCGCCCAGCTTAACTGGGATCCTGCAAAGGTCTCGACCCAACTCTAATGTAATCTTGCTACCACGAGTGGATCCAAGGTCTGATAGAACCCTAGAAAGGATCGGCCCAGATTTAATGTAATCCTTACATGGGGCTTGATCCAACTGTAATCGAATCCTACTAAAAGGGACGGTCCAACTCTGATCGGATCCTAATCGCCCTCGATCCACCTCTAAGAGAACCCTATACTTCTGGACCCAGTTCCACAAGAATGCTGCAAGGGCTGGGCCCACATTTGGTGGAGTCCTACAAAAGGCTCAATCCAGCTGCGATCGAATTCTGTTACTGGGGCTGGATGCAGCTCTAGTCGAATCCTACTGGGCCCGATAAACTCTCACAGGGTCCTACACAGGCTCGATCCAGCTCTAATCCAAGCATACAAGGGCTGGATCCAACTCTAATAGCTAGCTTCCCACGGAGGGCTCCCTCCAGCCCTAAGAGAATCCCTGTAGGAAGGGATCCAGTTCGAATCGAAGCGTACTGGGGCTTGATCCAACTCTCATAAAACCCTACGCAAGCGGAGTCCAATTATAAAAGAATCCCGCAAGGGGTAGATCCAGCTCTAGTAGCGCCCTGCGAGGACTGGATCCAATTTTCATACAATCCGGCCAGGATCCTATCCGACAGCTCCGATACAATCCTACTGCGGCTCGATCCAGCACACATAGAATCCTACCAGCATGGCTGGGCCCAGCTCTAATATAATCCAATTGGGGCTCGATCCAGCTTGGATATGACCCAGCTCGGGCTCGAACCCGCCTTAATGGCATCTCGCTAGGGGTCGATCGTCGTCGTCGTCGTCGTCGTCGTCAGCGTCAACGTCGGCATCGTCGTCGGCGTGGTCGTCGGCGTGGGCGTGGGCTTGGGCGTGGCTGTGGGCATCGTGGTGGTGGTGGTGGTGGTTGTCGTCGTCGTCGTCAGCGTCGTCGTCGTCGTCGTCGTCGTCGTCGTCGTCGTCGTCGTCGTCGTCGTCGTCGTCAGCGTTTTCGTCTTCGTCGTCGTCGTCTGCGGGCAGGGCAGCAGTGGCTTGGTGGTGGTGGTCTGGACCGCCCGAATAATTTTCCAAGGGGGGTCTGGGAGCTCCGGATGAGTTTTCGAGGGGGGTGGTTTCTGGGTCTCACCGGAATATACTGCTTTCAAAAAAGTGGATGGGTCCGAACCCACGGGCCACGGAACCATCACAGATCGATCCAACCCCATAACTACCGCAGAACGATGGGGTCGAATGTTCTGGTAGTGAATTCTCACGACGTTTCAATTATTCCGCGACGTCGTATCTCCGGGGAGGCCCACTCGGATGCCCTCGGGACGAGTTGCATGAAGGGGGGGGGGACGGAGAGAGGACGATGGGATTGCGCTTCAGCAGGGAACAAGTCCAACTGCTCGATTGCCACACTAGGATCGATGCTGTGTGACCCTGTGAAGTAGCTCGCTCCCCTCCAGGCTGCACAACTGATGTGACTCCGACACTTTCGAGCTGAAGATATCCTCTTTTCCCCCCTCCCTTCATGCCTCGGTGGCGCGCCCAGGGGGGAAGTGAGAAGGAGAATGCCTTCTCAGAAGTCTCGGAAGTCCCCGGGTCTTCTGAATAATTTTCTGAACCTTATCCGAAGACACAGAAAGCCGCTCAGAAGGCCGGGGCGCTTCTGAGAAGACCAGCCGCCTTCTGAGAAGGCCTTCTCCTTTTCACTTGCCCCCCTCGCTCGCCGCCGAATGCCTGCTGTCTCAGGCGAAGAGGGAGGACGGACAATTGGGTGGATCGGGGTCGAACAGGACACCTCTTAGCAAAACAACCCGTATGTGTTGAAACGGCCTGGGGACCAAAGCCCGCAGGCGCAGGCCCGCGAGGATGGCGGCCGTGTCGCCCTCTCGAGAAATGCAGCGGATCCACTGGGGGGACTCGCTCATCGGCCTCGCAGGGTGGGGGCTCCATCGCTCCTCGAGGGGAGCAAGAGGGGGACGATAGGGGTGGGACTGGCTCAGGGGGGCAGCCACTACCTTGATATCGGCGATACGTCGCCTCTGGATCGGCGATGGGTCCTCGATGCCAGAACCGCGCGGTCTTGGGCGGGGTGGGGCACCGGGGCCCCGAGTGGCGATGAACATTCGATGGTGGGTCGGTGCCCCAATGCCTCCTCCCATGGGCCAGTCCCGCCTCTCGCTGCCCCTGAGGAGGAGAGACCCAGACATCCGATGCCGTGATCCTTTCACAGCGTGGCCCCAGCAGAGGTCAGGACCCCTTCCTTTTCATTCTGAGCCGCTTTGTGACTGTCCTGGGGCCCAGTAAGGGTCCGCAGAAGCCGAAAGCAGCCCAAAGCCTTCATTCCTGATTTTGTCACGACACGAGCGCGCCAAAGGAGCGAGTAGGGACCCCCCCGAGGGCCTCCGGTGAGCGGCGCGGAACTGCCGGTCCAGACGTGCGCGCCGTGCTCCGCAGACCACGGCACAGGCCTCCGCCACCCCCCCCTCTGCGCGGTCTCTGCTCTGCTCTGCGCGGTCCCTGCTCTGCGCGGTCGCGCGGCGCCGCTGCCGTCGTACCTCAATTGGCATGGCCCTGAGATGCGGGCGCCTTATTAGCTGCCCCGGTGCGCAACATGCAACCCGCACCGTGTTGACACGGAGCTCAACACGCGTAGATTGCAAACGTAGGCCTGACACGATACGTTCATCAAGGCGTGGGCCAACATGTGTTGAGCTAACACGCAATGTGTTCAATCCAAGCGTTTTGAGCACGGTACGTGTTGCGTTTCGATACAGGCGTCTCAAGGCAACTGAGGCAGGCCCCGCAACGTTTTTTCACGCCGGGCGCTTCCGCCCATTCTCGAGCCCCCGGGACCCTCGCGGGTCGACCCGGCTCGAGAGATGCCGCAGCAAGGTGGGGCCGAGGGCTCCGGGCTCGGGGGGAGGAGCAGGAGGAGCAGGAGGAGGAGGAGGAGGAGGAGGAGGAGGAGGAGGAGGAGGAGCAGGAGCAGGAGGAGGAGGAGGAGGAGGAGGAGGAGGAGGAGGAGAGGACAGGAGGAGGAGGAGGAGGAGGGGGCACTTGTTCGCGGGTCGCTGAGACCTCCGGGGAGGGGCGCGCGTCCTGGAGGCGTCTCGCCGTGGCCGGGCCCCGCTGCGCCCTCCTCCACGGGCCACGGGGCCGTCAAGAGACGGCTCGGGGGATGCAGAGCTGGTCCCGGGGAAGGCGCCTGGGCCGCAGGCCCACTCCCCTCGGGACACCGCAGTGCCCGTCGTGGGCGGGCACTGCGCTTCGAGCGGCGGCCGAGGCTTGTGCTAGCGAGCAGCGCCGCGTCCCCGCGGGGGAGGGCACTCCGAGTTTCTGAATAAGCGTCGGGGGGGCGTCACCACCGCCGACAGCCCCACATCGACCCCCGTCGCGGGCGGCCACCGCGCGCCGAAGGCGCTCCGACCCCCGTCGCGGCGCGACGACGAGGCGAGATTGACCCCCGTCGAGGGGGTCCCCCCCCACGCTTAGTAAGAGACCCAGGGAGTAGGCAGAGCAGGGGAGGTGGGCCAGTCATTCCACCAGACGGCCGCCCAGGGAAGCAGCAAGCACGCAACTTGGGGCCTTCCTGGGCCACCCAGTCGTCGTCCTGCTCCTGCAGTGCTCGCTTCCGGGAGCGGCGCCGCGGTCGGAGGACGACACCTCTGCGTGCTCAAACTTCTCTGCGTGGAGGGCAGGTCAGGCGATCGCAAAAATTGGATCAAGGGGGCGTGGATTAGAGACGGGTCCCGTTTACATGGGAAATCGCGGATTTCAGCCGCCGAACGAGGCGGCACCAGCCGCGTGAAATTCATGGATCACTAATCCAAGTTTGCGCGCCCCCGAGTAGGGGGCTTAGCGGGAGGATGTGGAGGAAGCGAAGAAGGATTGGCGGAAAGTGATCGAACGGAGGGGAAGGAAGCATCATGAAGCGTGCGGGAGAGGGGATGGGAAGAGAAAAAGAGGGAGGACGGGGTAGGAGGGTTTGGGGTTGGCGGGAGGATGCGGAGGATGCGAAAGATGGAAACGCGGAGGGTGACAGAACTGAGGAGAAGGACGCATCAGGGGGAGTGAGGGAGAGAGGATGAGAAGAGCAAAGGGGGAACAAAGTAGGAGGGTTAGGTGCTGGCGGGAGGATGTGGAAGAGGCGAAGGCGGGAAAAGCTGAGGGTGACATAACTGAGGAGGAGGTAGCAGGAGGCGTTTGGGGGTTGGCGGGATGATCTGGAGGATGCGAAGGGGGGAATGGTGGAGGGTGATGGAACCGAGGAGAAGGACGCATCAGGAGGAGTGAGGGCGAGGGCTGGGGGCTGGCGGGAGGATGTAGGGAACGGAGGAGGGTGACGGAACCGAGAAGGAGGCAGCGGGTTGAGCGAGGGAGAGGGGATGGAAAGAGACACGGAGGGAGGATGGTGTAGGAGGGTTGGGGGTTGTCGGGAGGACGTGGACGGTGCGAAGGAGGGCACGGCGGAGGGTAACATAAGCGAGGATAAGGATGCGTCAAGAGGAATAGGGAGAGGGGATGAGAAGAGACGCCGAAGGTGGATGGTGCAGGAGGGTTGGGGGTTGGCGGGAGAATGTGGAGACGAAAGAGGGACAGGCTGCAGGTGACGGAACCGAACGAAAAGGAGGCAGCAGGAGGGATGGGGGATGAGAAGAGAAACAGAGGGTGGATGGAGTAGGAGGGTTGGGAATTGGCGGGAGGGCGTGGAAGAATCGAAAGAAGGAATGACGGAAGGTGACGGAACTGAGGAGAAGGACGAAGCAAAGGGACTCAAGACTCAGGACTCGAGTGTCCGCGAAGCAAGCCCATGCAAGGATGAGTGCCGGGGACGTGCACAACGCTGAGACGCGGTGCAGACCAGCGAATCAGGGGAAGTGATGAGAAGGAATGAGAAGAGACGGTGAGGGATGATGGTGTCGGAGGTTCGGGGGTTGACGGGAAGATGTGGACGATGAGCCCGAGGAGAAGGACGCAGCAGGAGGCGTGAGGGAAAAGGGAGGTAGGATGAAACGAGAACATGGAGGAGGGAGGGGGGAGCATCAGGATGACGGAGAAAGAGGGGGGACATGATGCAGGAAGAGGCGGAGGAAAGAGGAGGGGAAAGGGAGGACGGAGGAGCAGATTATGGGGTAAGAGGACGGAAGAATGAATGCCTGAGCGGGGGCAAGAGGAGAGAGGAGGAGAAGCAGCCCGGAGGAGGGATATTGTGAGCTAGGATGATGATGAACAGAACAAGGGTGAAATCGTGGTCACACGTTTACTCGCAAACGGACACCCTTGCGGCAGAATGCCCTAAACAACTTTACACACTCACGCTGGGGGATCACGATGGGGGGATCGGAATAGGGATCATAAACTAAGACTAGGGATATAGCGATAGGGCTAGGGATACAAGGATAGGGCCATAGGGACATATAATAGAGATACACATACATAAGGGGTGTATGGACAACAATAAGAACGGAAATGGGAAGCCACGGGATGCCACGGCAGGTCACGGGAGGCAGCCGGAGGCAGGGAGAGGCCACGGAAGCAACGGGAAGCAGTGGGAGGCAACGTCGCCCGCCCGATGCCGGATCTGGCAGCCTTTACAGACAAGCTGTTTAGGAGACTTCCACGCAATGTGTGCAATTCAGCGGAAGGTCCTGGAGCAAATTCACCATGAGGGTGACGGCATCTGCAATGATCGAACATCTGCAAAAAATCAGGAGAGGCATGCTCACGAGGAGGAATGTGCCATCCATACGGGGGGCACAATCGCATAGTCCCCTAGCCAACCTGTCTGGATACTCGCCACTTGTGAATCGCATCCGTTGCCTGCTTGTGCTTTCCATCTCTGGAATCTCCTCATCATCCCGCATCGAGCCGCAAGGGAAGGCTAATCCTGGAATCTGAGCATTCCTGCCACCATCCTGGGATGGGGAGGCGGACGAGGCGCAACATACTCCGGGCAAAGCAGAGGTCAGAGCCCAACCCTTCAGTGGCTCCCCTCTAATCTCCTTGGTAAGCTGTGCGAGCCATATCGCGGCTGCCCTCCAAGCCAGACGGTTCACTGGCGCTCCTGGCCTGCTCTTACACTCAAAACCTGAAATTTCGATCCGCGCCTTTGGCTTCCGCTTCCACGTGCTCCGGCTCGTGCCTCCGATCGTGCTCGTGGTTCGTCCCTGCTCCGACCGAACTGCATCGCTCATCCTCCAAATGCAGTCGCTGCCCAACACGAACCTGGCCGAGCGCACCCGCTTCCCTCGACGCTCCTCCTTTCCTCATCCTCTTCTTCGCTCCTGCAGGCAGCCTCTCCGAACTCCTGCCTTGAGGCCCTGGTGACGAATGCGACATCATGGTCCCCCTTTCTAGTACCCTCATCGTCCAATCTGGCCTCGAAGCGTCTATGAAGCCCTTGAAGTGCCCGGGTCATCTCTGAACGAGGCAGGCGTCAATTCGCCGGCCCAACGGGCCAGAGGCGTGCTAAGATCTCCGGTGACTGCTCAACAATATTTCTAGTTCGCGCGCGCGGGGCGGGCCCTGGGGGTCCCCGGACGAACAGTACCCCGGCAAGGTCCCGGCAGACTCCCGGCACACTCCCGGCAAGGTCCCTTTTCGGAGCCCAGGAGGGCTCCAAACGGTCCAAGAGAGGCCCGAGAAGCCCTCCAGACGGTCCAAGAGAGCCGGGAAACGCCGAAATATCACTCCCAAGCGCCTGCGATGGCCTCACGACGGCCCAACAGGCCTTCAAGACGCCCCAAGAGGTCCCTAAGCGGCGCACCAAGAAGGCTCCCACAAGCAAACATCGTTTCATTCCCTGGGGAAAACGTGCATTTTTAACATATCCGCCTCTTCGTCTTTCACACCTTTCAAGGCGGTCCAAGAGGCCCCCAAGATCACCCCAAGACGGCCCGAGAGACCCTCGAGACCGCTCAAAGACGGCCCAAGAGCGCTCCAAGAAGGCCCAAGAAACCCTCAAGAACTTTTTTCTCGAAGCCCAGGAGGGCTCCAAATCGGTCCAAGAGAGGCCCGAGAAGCCCTCCAGACGGTCCAAGAGAGCCGGGCTACGCCACAATATCACCCCCAAGCGCCTACGATGGCCTCAAGACGGCCCGACAGGCCTTCAAGACGTCCCAGGAGGTCCGTAAGAGGTCCCTAAGCGGCGTCCCAAGAGGGCTCCCGCAAGTAAAAAATCGTTTCATTCCCTTGGGAAAGCGTGCATTTTTAACATATCCGCCTCTTCGTCTTTCACACCTTTCAAGGCGGTCCAAGAGGCCCCCAAGATCACCCCAAGACGGCCCGAGAGACCCTCTAGACCGCTCAAAGACGGCCCAAGAGCGCTCCAAGAAGGCCCAAGAAACCCTCAAGAACTTTTTTTCGGAGCCCAGGAGGGCTCCAAATCGGTCCAAGAGGGGCCCGAAAAGCCCTCCAGACGGTCCAAGAGAGCCGGGATACGCCACAATATCACCCCCAAGCGCCTACGATGGCCTCAAGACGGCCCAACAGGCCTTCAAGACGCCCCAAGAGGTCCCTAAGCGGCGCCCCGAGAGGGCTCCCACGAGCAAAAATCGTCACTTTCCCTTAGGAAGGGGTGCATTTTTAACATATCCGCCTCTTCGTCTTTCGCACCCTTCAAGGCGGTCCACGAGGCCCCCAAAATCACCCCAAGACGGCCCGAGAGACCCTCAAGACCGCTTAAAGACGGCCCAAGAGCGCTCCAAGAAGGCCCAAGAAACCCTGAAGACGGCCCAAGAGACCCCAAGGCGGCCCCATGATTGAGGTCCACAGGGGCAACCTGAACGGAAATTTTGAGCCTCCCGCCCAAACACGCCCCTGAAAGGCCCCTGCAATCCCCCAAGTAGCCCCACGAAGCCCCCAAAAGAGCCCCAAGAGGCCCCAACTTGGCCGCAAGAAAACTCCAAAAGGCCCCCAAGAGACCCCCAGGAACCCAGGAAGCTCACAGGAGGCCCCCAAGAGGCCAGGCAGACCCCCCCAAGAGACCACCAAGAGGGCCCACCCAGAGCCATCCACGAGGCCTCCCAAAGTTCCCAAGAAGCTCCCACGAAACTTCCAAGGGCTCCCAATACCCCACGAGGCCTCCAAGAGCTCCCAAGAAGCTGCCCAGAAGCCTCCAGTGGCTCCCAAGAGGGTCACAAGTACTCCTCCTGAAAAGCTCCTTGATGCTCCCAGAAGAGACTCCCAGAAGCATCCAGGAACTCTGCGAGATGCCCCCTCCCCATATCCCAACACTCAGTTTTTTCTCGCGTCCCTCACCCTTGGATCCTTCACTGCGTTTTCCTCCAATTTCGATTGGATGAGGATGAGCTTGGGATGGTCCTGGACATGTGTGGGGGGCTCTGGAGGTCAGCGTGAATTCTGAGAGGTTGTTGGTTGCGTGTCTTCTGTGAACACAACCAACAAATATGAATAGTGGAAAAACCGCACATACATCACCGATCCCCAAACGGCCCACATGTGTATGCATTCGGCAACGTGTATGATGTGGGATGTCAAGCACGACTGGCCCCATCCTCCTCGAAATGGTCGCCCTCATCATCCTCCGCCTCCACCTCCTTCTATCCGTCCCTCCCTCCCTCATATCCCTGCCCCACCTCCCTCTCCTCCATTTTCTCCTCTTCCTCCCAAGAGGCCCCCAAGAGCGCCCCAAGACGGGCCAAGAGGCTTCCAAGAGAGCCCCAAGAGGGCCCAAGAGGGCCCCGAGACGGCTTAAGAGGCGCCCAAGACGGCCCAAGACGGCCCCAAGACGGCCCCAAGAGGGGCCCAAGAGGGGGACCACGAACCGAAAACTCGAGCCTTCCGCCTCAAGAGGACCCCAATAAGCCCCCAGAGGCCCCCAAGAGGCCCCCAAGAGGCCCCAAGATGCCGCCAAGAGGCCCCCAAAAGGCCCCCAAGAGGCCCCAGGAGGCCCCCAGGAGGCCCAAAAGAGGCCCCAGAAATTCAAAAAAGCCTCCCAGGCGGCTCCGAACGGCTTCTCAAAAGACCCCAAGAGGCCTCCCAAAGAAGCATCTTGACGACGACCCTGTTTGGCCCCAAGAGCAACACAAGATGCCAACGAGAGGCTTCCTCCTCCGCCCCTTCCCCTTCCTCCTCCTCCTCCTCCTCCTCCTCCTCCTCCTCCTCGTCCTCCTACTTATCTTCATCCTCCTCCTCTCCTTCTCATCATATCCTCCTCCTCCCCTCCCCTTCCCCATCCTCATCTTCCTCCTCCTCGGCGGCGCCACAATGGCCCCGGGCCCACGGCGAAGCAGTAGCGATCATGCAACATGGGCTGGCGGAATGAGCGAAGCGATTGAATAACAAAGCAATCGTCGTGTGGGTTGGGGAATCGCCTTGTGGACCTCAAGGGTTTCACGGGCACCCACACGCAAACCCAACACTTCGCTTCAGGTGTGCCTCCTCGGCTACGCTGGCGTCTGGCAGTGCTAGTGCCCTTCCCTGCCTATCGGTACCCACATCGTCAAGCCAATACCGTTCGGCGGGAACGTATGCACTAGTCCCGTGATGCACTGGAACATGTGACAGATGGCTGGGCCAGCCAAATGAGCCTCCTTCTTGCGCAGACCTTGGTTTCTGCTGCACTGCCTTCTGAGCAATCGCTTGGATTGGCATCGATCGGCCTGATATATGACACGACGTGCATGCATAGGTACACATACTACCAAGCTGCTGCGAAGAACTGGTGACTATTTCGTGCAACATTCTATTCAACATGTGTCGCACATCCATGGGGACATGTACGTGGCATACGAAGCACGGCGGTCAGGAGGTACTGACAGGTTTCCCATATATTTTGGTGCTACTCGGGCGATACACTCCACACATCGCTGAACTGCCCACGGCCTCGGCCTCCTCGCCGCGCTGCGCTCAGTGTGTGCTCTTGCCAACGTGTCGCAACGGGAGCCTGCCACAACAGCAGCAGCAGCAGCAGCAGCAGCAGCAGCAGCGACCGACGCCTGTGACACGCGCAAGATCTCTTGAGCTGAAGGCGGGGCCAAGCGTCAACAGTGGCCCTTCGCAGGCCCCGTCTGCTTCAGAATCGTCCCCGCAGCCCACAGCCAAGTGACAGCCAAGGACCAGCTAAATGCGCATAACCTTTCGGGCGGATTCCTCGGATCGGCGCTCTCTTGGATCGGCGCTGGACCCTCCTCCCTGGAGTGCGGAGCGGCGCCAGAAGCGCCGCCAAGGGGTTCCAAGGTCGATCCAAGCAATCCGCGCTGAGCTCCGATAGTTTATGTTTACACAGTTGGCCTTTCTTTAAAACAGAGATAGCGACCACTTCTTGCTCTCAGGGGCTCTTACTTGTCTTCCCAAGGAAATGGTTGGATCTGGCAAGGATCTTCCACTTGGCCGCCCGTGGCCGCCCCGTGGCCACCTCGTGCGCTGAGTGGGTCTGGCGAGGATTTTCCACGTTGCCGCCCGTTGCCGCCTCGTTGCCCCGTGCGCTGGGTGGACCTAGCGAAACCTGCTGCAGGCAGCCCCCCCCCGCAAGCAAAAACCTAGCCGCGCGGAGACCCCGCCGCCGCTCCCCCTGGGCACACGTGTCTGGCTCGGCCGCGCCTAATACACCCTCGAGCGGGGGGCCCGAGCGTTTTACTTTGTTTAGCGAGCGTGAGCGCGCAGACGCCACCACGCGCAAGGTGAAATAGAGGCCTCCCAAATGGGGTCCGAATAGAAGGGGTCGGAGGATCGCGCCGCATCGCTGGTGCATCGCCGATGCATCGGCGACGCCAGTGGAGAAAATCTGGCTCCACATCGAGCCGCATCGCCGATACGTCGGTGATGCGGCGCGATCCTCCGACCCTGGCTGCTCGGATCGCATCTGGGATGCCTAGATGGAAGCAGGCCGCATGGATGTCCCCTGAGAGCTCGCTGGCATGTCGTCTCCCGCCCCCCTCTCTGGCTCTCTGGGCGACCCCTAGTCGACTACACGCAAGAGTGACCCTGGGTAAGAGTGACCTTTGGTGGGCGGCTTTTCGGGGGGCGCGGGGGGACCAAACAGAAACGAGCAAGACGCTATTACCGCGTCGCGTTCGGCGATCGGGAGACCCCATTGGGTCCGCACCAAAAGGTCACTCCGGAGAAACGTCACTCTTACGTGTAGTCGACCTGGGCCATGCCGAGCCCGTGCCTTCGGGCCCCCCGCCCCTGGCTCGTCGCGGGATCGATCTGTGGCGGAGCTGCCTCCCTGCGGGCGGACGGGGCGTGTCTTGCCCTCGACCTGTCCATCACTGTTCCGAGGTCGACATTCTGATGCAGATGATCATCCAGCACGGGGCGGTGCCTCAAAGTGCTACACCACGCGGCCACGGTGCGGGGACGCCATGAGGACTGTCCACCAGACGGCCAGCACAACGACAATATGGTAGGCCTGAGCACCTCAGAAACAGCCAGACACCAATACCCAATATGGCCTGTTCCTGTCGTTTCGACGGGTGCGTTGGTTTCTGACACCGTGTGCCGTTCAACCTTGAGCGATCGCTGCTTTATGATCGTCGAGATCGCTCGATACTGGCGGAGCTCAGGCCACCAACGGCACTCAATCCTGAATGGCTGCGTTGGCGCCACCGCCGCGTAGACACGACGCTGCTTCGACGGACATTCTGCGGGCGCCGCCCCAGCGCTCTGTTCTGCGTGGCGTGGGGTAGTCATCGTGTTATCAGAAGGAGCGCTGCCTAAGGAACGGGCGGGCTTTTCTGGCCATGGCGACCCTCTGCCACAAATGCTCTGGATGGGTCAATCATCGCCCCCTTCTTGGATCCGCTGGGGGGGTTGGGCACGTGCTGTCGGAGCGGGTGGAAAAGGGGGGTTGGAGGAGCTTCGAAGGAACTTTGGCGACGGCGATGTCGAGTAACGCCTCTTGGCTGCGCCAGCTCGGGACTCGGGAACGAGGCGGCCCCTAATGCGGCACTGGCTTGCCTTTGGACAAACACTTGATTCCATACACCGCGTTCTTGGTCGGGCTCTTACACTTAAATAACAATCCCTTGACATTCCCACGACATCGGCATATTGCATCGTGCGGGGGGAATGGGGAAATTTGTTGCCTAGTTGGGTGCTTTGTGTGGAACCACGGGCACACTTAGACCCAGAGCGAACTTTGTAATACTTCAGCCATCTCTTGATGACCAAGGCACCTGCAAGCTTACTCACTGCTTCTTTACACGCGGTACACTGCCGAGCCTGGCTCAGCACACAGGTGGCTTTCTTCTTGGGCTCCTGGGAGGCCTGCTTCTCGCTCATCTTGGCGGCGGGGTCCTTTGCGCAGGCCTCGATGTGGGCGCGGATGAATCTTTTCCACGCCATCGCGCAGGTTGCGCGAACCCATTCATACATCTTGAACTGCGGGGCTGCGATAGCGTGCGCCTCCGCCGACCTCTCGGCCAGGGCATCCGCTGTTGCATTGCCGAGCCACGCCTCGAGGCTCACTCCGAGCCTCTGCCCTTGCCCGTCGTCGAGGTGATTCGGTACGTGCTGCAGCTTGACGAGCTCCTCGGGGTCACAGTGGCCGGGGGCTCTCTGATGCAACGCCATGCCAATGATATTCCAGATTTCATGGTTGTGACGCCGCGCACTTTGTGCATGGTGACCCAGCTGCCATCCTCGTATGGTCACCTCTGAGTCCGTGCAAATGTGGAGCCGTCCGTATGAGCAACGTATCGCCTGTAGTATTGCCTATAGCTCCGCTCTGCTGTTGGTCTGCCGTCGTCCTGGGAGTGGTCCGTACTGTCCAGCTTCCAGTTGCCAATTGTCACCCTGTCGCTGCAGCTTGAGCCATCCCCGTCCGTATCTTCGATGCCGAGGGTCATGTGATTGCTCTCCTCCGCTGCCATCGGTGCATATCGCAGTGATGTCGTCCGTGGTCATTACCTTGCCGTCGTTGTTAAAATCGCCGATGTTGGTGTGCTGCTCTGTGGCGTCGCAATCTGGCGGCGCCGTCCATGCCTTGGGCGCGAGCCCGCGTAGCCAAAAGAGGTGTATGTTGACTGCCTTTTATCGCTCCTTGTCTGATGTATTCCGTCTTGTCTTTGTCCTCGTGGTCGTCTCTGCGCGTGCAAGTGCCCCGTGCTCCGTGGAGGTCGTCGCAGATCTCGCCGCAGGCGCAAGTGTTGGATGCATCTATGAATGTCTTGTGCTTGCGGCTTGGCGTCCACGTGCCTGCGCTCGCCGCCGCCGGTAGCGCGCCCGGCTCGTGGTGCTTGCCTCGCTTTCGCAGCACCTTGAGCTTCTGGGTGAGGTCGTAGTAGGTGTCGATGCCGTACTCGAGGCCTTAGCCCAGCCAGTGGTCCGAGGCCTTGGTCCGTTGCTGGGGCTGCTGGTTTTTCAGGATGGCATGGATGACGTCGGGTGGGTCGCCTATGTGGTCGTCGTCGCCTTCGCCCATCTGCCATGTGTTGCCCAGGTGATCGGTCCACTCTGTAGGCGAGATCGGACCCCGACCAACGTTCCATAATGAAAAAATATCAATGCCGATCGGGCCTCCGCGCTGCCCCCATCGGTGTTGCGTGGGCACGCCGGCAAGGCTGTTGTAGATACTGGGCCAGGCTAAACGGGCTCCATTGTGAAGAGTTTCTCGGCACGCCCAGACGTCGAACCCTGTGTTGAGTGCCGCGCGCAGTATGGTGACAGCTGGGTCGGCTTCCGACAGGGATAGGTGCGTGTGCAGGCATCTCCCGACCCAGTGCTTAACCGTGGAAATGGCCTATTGTTTCCTGGCCGTAGTGACTGCAGTGGGCGCCTCTCCATATGCCTTGCATCCGTAGAGGTATGATGCCATTGGCCCCTGGGTGACCAATGCTCGCTTGCGCAGGGCGCGCAGCCGACGTAGCTTGAGTCGAATGCTGGCAAGTCCCTTTGATGCTTGCTGTCTGCGCTTGCTGTGTGGCGGACTTCTTGCTGGAGTTCTTCCTGCGCGGTCTTGGTCCAGGTCTCGACCAACTGATGCAGGTTTGGCTGGTGCCCCTCTTGCCTTGACTTGGATGCAGATGTCGTTGGTCGTCTCGATGCTGGATGTGATGGCCACGCTCGTGGGGTAGGCTATGGTGGCGGGTATGATGGTTGCTGTGACGCGCTTCTGGCTTCCTGTGACTCTGAGCTCCGCGTCGTCGAACCAGGCGCTAGGAATCGCGGCTGGTACCATGTAGTGCATGCGGTGGAGGACTTGATCCATCGCTGCTCTGGCCAGGTGGTTAGCGTGTCTTGAGCCTGCCACTAGCGAGCGCGATGGTAATAACGGCTTGCTGTATGTGGAGGCCTGGCGCAGGAAGCCTACGAACGCGCGGAGCTGGATCTCCATTGCGAGCGCGCTTTTTTTTGGGGGGGGGGGGCGACATGTGCATGGCGGCGTAGACGATCTGTGAGAGGTCGAGTGTGTCGTAGAGTCCCCGTATGTCTGCTTGCGTCGTGGCGTTGGCCAACTTCGGCGCGTCGCAGATCCCCTTGCCCGGGGCGTGCGCAACGGCCTCGCGCAGGCAGCTGCTGCCCGCGAGTGTGGCGTCCCAGTGCCGTCCTGTGACTCGTATCAAGTTGTCAACCGCTGGCCGAATGAGCTTCTCCCAGGCTCGGCATATCTGCGGTGGTAAGCCCAGCGCTCGATATCCCTCCTCCTTCGGCTGTATCGTGATGGCGGTAGTTGTCATGGCCATGCGAGCTGCCGCTCGCAGCGGTTGAACAAGTTGACCAGTCGCTCTCGTCCTGCCGCAGGCAAGCGTCGTAGGTCTTAGCTGGATATCTTGTCTGTGCCCCTGGCTTTGCCAGGCGAGCGCCTGGGAGAGCAGTTTAGGTCCTCGATGGTCCAGGTCGTGGTTGGCGCTTTCCTGGCGCGCTCCCGAATGTCCTGGATGAAGGTCTGGTAATCGCGGTGAGTGATGGTCGGGTGGTCCGCGAACTCTTCCGTCTTGGCGTTTATGGTCGACTTGGGGCAGCACGCTTTGCCTCTGATGCGGACGAATTCGTCTTTGTGTCGTGGCTGTGGCTCTGTGATTCCGTGGAGCTTGCCGACAGTTGCCTTGGAGGCGTGTGAAAGCCAGCGTGCGAACGCGTGTGACCTCATCTCGACGGTGAGGGTCTTGGCGGCCGCCTGCTCGGCTTGGCCAAGCATGCTCTCGAGCGCGTCGATGTCAAGCGTGTCCAGCACCTTGAGCCTGGACCCCCAAAGGTCGCGATGTTGAGCTGCTGTTGGTAACGATCGAGCTCCTGCTGTTGGTGCGCCTTCGTGAGCGAACTGTCGTGCTTCTGATGTTCGCTGTCGTTGCTGTCAGTTTTCTCTTGGAGTGTGTGGCATGCTCTTAGAATAGCCGCCGGCCTCCCCCACCAGTCTGTTTGTTTGCAGATGTAGGGAGTTCGTCTCGCCCGTGGTGCCGCACGTTCGTTGCCATGTAGAATCCCACGTCCAGTGAGCTGTTGGCGGTCCTGGGACTGGATGTCGTATGCCGCGCAATAGAACCTCTCCTGAGCACCCATGAACTGACCGTGTTCCTGTTCTAGCATAGAGGCTGCCTCTGGGTCCGAGGCATGAGCAGCTCCGCGTCGCATGAAATCTGGGGGGTGCCCGTGCTTCGGTCGCGGCTTCGTGACCGTCGAAGAGACTTCCTAAGGGTCGTCCATTGCGCAGGCGTCGGGCTGATTGTCCTGCGCGCCTGGAAGGGGGGTCTCTGGTGAAAGTGTCCTATCCACTGTCTCGAGCGCGCTCGATGGCGCCTCGGGGCCCGTCTCGGCGGCGGCGTCGTCTGAGGTCTCCTCGGGCGGCTCGCCCCAGAAAGCGTGACCGCCCTCGCTCTCGAGGTCCTCCGTGGGGTCGTGCTCGATGGAGTCCATGTGGTGCTCGTTGGCTTGGTGTTCTGAGCGTGGGGGGAATCCATGATGTTCCCAGCGGCTGCTCATCTCCTCGTCAATGTTGATGCTATTGCCGCTTGCTATGTCTTTGGTTATCGCCACCTGGCGCTGGGGTGCTAATTTGGTTTTTGCTGATGCCTTTTGCTGTCGGGGTTGGGCGGCTTGAGTGGTACTGGTGGCTGTGCGAATGGTTTTGGTAGCTGGGGCTGTCTGATCTTGATGGGCATGGCTTCGCCTCAGAGTCGTGAGATCTGTCCTGCGTGTGCCTCCCATAGCGTCGCCGCCGTGTCCATGCCGATGGGGTACTTCTGGGCGTCATGGCTGGTCGCAGCTTAGCCGATGAGCGTAGCTGAGGTGGTGCCCTCCTTGCTGTTGTGCGTGAAGCAAGTGTGGCCGCTTGGTATTGTGGCGATGGATCCTCCCATGGCTTCTGGCCATCCTGGAGCCCATTGTCTCTCTGGAGGCACATTCCAGCCGCCCATGGCGATCCAGAGATGCTGGCAGCTGGCCAGGAAGAAAGCCAACGTCGTCAGTTTCCTGGAACTGATATTTTGGAGGCTGCCAGTCGGGCCCATGTAGATGCTAACGCAGATGATACTATAGCCGCGGAGGTGCCGGCGCATCGGGGCCCAGTCGAAGAAGTTGCGCTCTGGGCTGTCAGTGGGGGTGGTGGTGGTGGTGGTGGTGGTGGTGGTGGGGGGGGGCATGGGGCCAGCCGTGGTCGCAGAGGCCGTGCCCGTGGCAGCTTTCTCGCGGTGGCACTCGCTCTGGTGGTGTGACGTGACGCCAACGCGGGCTCCATCGTTGGAGCCCTGCTGGCATGTCGTAGATTGTCGTGCCGGGCAGAAGGGGGACTTGTAGCCCGTGTTGTGGACGTCGCGCTCGGCGTCCATCAGCTCGTGACTTATGAGTGGGTTTCCTGGGTGGCGAAGGCATCAAACCGCCTGTGCTCTCTGGCGCTGGCCAAGAACTCTATCGCCCTGGGGCCCCACTCCGTGCAGCTGCCGACGAACATTCTGAGCTCGACATCGCCTCTGTGGTCGGCGTGGCGATGATAGCTCAGCAGTCCCTATTCTTGCTTGTCTGGCGAGGCTGCCTCGCCATCGAGCTCCTGGTCTTCCTCTGCTTTCTTGGCCTTGGCGCGCACCTCCGCCAAGAGCTCGTCCTTTGTCTTACTGCTGCTGGCTGCCGCTGAGCGAGGCGCGGTTCGCGCGCGAGTTTGGGGTGCTGGTGGCGCAGGTTCCTCAAAAACTGGTAGTTGCTGTGCCACTCCCCCTTCCGCCTTCCGCTCCTTGGCAGCCTGCTTGACTGCTTCGCGATTATACTTGGCTTGCTCGCGGGCTTGCTGGAGATGCTGCCGAAGACCCGTCATGTAGGCGGCGGCGTTGTCCTTGTACGACTTCAGGAGCTGCCTCTTGACCTCTGCGACCTCGTCCTTCGCGTCCTGGTCGTATGCGTCTGGGTCGTCGTCCTCGAAGTCGTCGGCAATGCCCGAGGCGTCAACGTCGTCCTTCCCCTTCATCTAGGAGCTTGGCTTGGCACCCGTGATTTCCTCGACCGACTTTTCCGCGTCAGTGACAACGTACTGCTCGGCTAGCTGCTGGCGTGTGGCCGCTGTCTTCTCGTAGGCGTTGTCGTACTTGGAGTTGGCCCTCTCGATCCTGGAAGCTGCGTTGCGAAACTGCCTGGCGTGTTTCTGCGCGGGCTCCTCAACTTGTGGGGCCAGGCCATCCGCAACTGCCTTGAGCTGCTCCGTGGGGCCAGCGGCGACGCCCATGGTGGCGAGCGATTCGTCGATACGCCTCAAGGTGTTCGCCATCTGCTGGTTGTCCCCTTTGCCCGAGCCTTTGCCCGAACTCCTGTCGTTGTGGCCCTTGATGGAGGTTTTTCGCTGCTTGACTTTGCTGCCACAGGTGCAGGTGCAATCCCATGAGAGCCAGTCCTTGTCGTATTGCCAGTCACCGCAGCTCTTGCACAACGTCCAACTCCAGCTCAGGGTCGACTTCTGGGCGCCTTAGCCGTAGCTCTTGCCGCCCTTGTCATTGTTGTCCCTGCCCCTGCCTGTGCTGCTGTTGTAACTGCTGTTGCCAGAGTAGTTTCCGTTGTAGCTGTTGCGTCCCATTGCGAGGTATGTCTGCTGGTCTCGCTGGTTCTGCTGCGCGCTGTGGTGCTTGCTGAGCGAGTGCGCCGCGTCAAGCATCTTTACCAGTGTTCTCGCCTCCGACCTGCGCTGTCGGTCACGCCGATGCCAGGCAGGCTCGGGTGGCGTCTCGCCTGCAGTGGCGCAGCGGGCGCCTCAGCCGTGCCGTCGCGGCTGCCAGCGGCAGGAACTGCACGTGGCCGCCAATCGGCCCAGCGGGAGGCCGCGAAGCAACGAGTGCCTCACCCCTGGGGCGCTGCGCAGCTCGCGTGAGCCCGGCCTCCAGGGCGGCCCGATCGCGGGCGATCGCGCAAGGGATCAATCGATTGCCACCGACGCGACCCAGATCTGGCCGTTCCCCGTCGAGGCCAGATGGTTTTTTTTTGGGAGGGGAGGAGGAGGAGGAGGAGGAGGAGGAGGAGGAGGAGGAAAAGGAGGAAGAGGAGGAGGGGGTGGAGGAGGAGGAGGAACAGGAGGAGGAGGAGAAGGAGGAGCAGGAAGAAGAGGAGGGGAAGGAGGAGGAGGAGGAGGAGGAGGAGGAGGAGGAGGAGGAGGAGGAGGAGGAGGAGGAGGAGGGATGGGCAAGCTCCGTCGGAAGGGTAATCGCCCACCCCCCGATTAATATCCCACCCAAAATAAACTCAGACCGGAATTCCATAGCCTCTGCTGAGCTCGAAGTGATTATTTCGGGGTGGGCATAAGCATAACCGCCTTCAGCAAAACACCGTTCGGACCGTTCGGCGAAAACGTCCCCGGGACCAGACCTGGCAGGCACAGGCTCACAGACCTTGCGGCCGCAACATCTTGCCGAGAACCAAAGAAGGGCAATTCGCCAATTGATCTGGCAGGGCGGGGGGTCTGTCAGCCCTCGAGCATTGCCCTCCGCGTCTTGGCTATGTGCCCGCAGTGCTGGCTTGTGCCTCGGCGTGGCCAGCGGGGGCGCGGCTGAGTCCCGCGCATCTGCCACGGGGCGTTGGCGCTGGGCCTGACCACGGCGGCCGTGGTGCTCCTCGGGAGGGTACCGCGGCCTCCCGTCCCCACCTTCCGGGGGTGCGGAGGGCACCGCTGATCGAAGAAGCAGTGCTGTCCCTCGCCCTCTCTCGAGCCCGGGGGGGGCATGGTGTGGAGGGTGCCGCCAACTGGGGAGGGGGATGTGGAAGAGGTGAGCTACTGCTCCTCGACGTCAGCTGGAGACGGTAGCAAGACAACACATCGGTGCCCTCTGCGCCCATGTCGTCGCGTGGGGGAATTGTGAGATGGGGAAAGGGGGGAGATGGAGGAGAAGGGTGACCACGATGACGACGATGCTGAGGTGAGGATGATCATCAGCCCCCTCGAACTAGCATCATTTTCAATTCAGAAGCGGAGAGAGCATTCACATCATTGTTCAGGTTGATGTGGTGATGATGGTGATGATGGTGATGATGATGATGATGCTGATGATGATGATGAATACGATGATGCGCTGGAGGAGGAGGATGTTCAACATATCCGTCTTTTGTCTCCCCTCCACCCTTGCCGCCTCCAATTTATATGTTGATTCGTCCTTGTTTTCCTATTATTGCTCCTCTTCGTCCTCCTTGTCCTCGTCCTCCTGCACCCCTTCTTTGTCTTCATTCCCTCTCCTCCTCGCACGTAGCTCGGAATGAGCTCGTATGACGCTAGCGCGCAAGCTGCCTGCTGGACGAACTGCGCTCTGGCAGCCCGAGGATGCTGATGCATCAGCTCCTGGTCCACGCCTGCCTGCCTCCTGATCGATGTATACATCTAAAAGCTGGTGACCAGCCTCTGACACGCAAGCAAACTTTCCTTGGGAAACATCGCGCGAACAAGACCCAATCTATGATAAAAGGAAAACCTCGATCGGGGCAGACGGGACCCAGACAGCCTTAACAACATCCTGCAGCAGCTGATGCGACGTGTGATGTCTCTGGGAATCAGATTCAGCAGGACATCCGAATTTGCAAGCTTGATCCGTTTGAGAAACCCGCCTCTCCGTGGTCCACTCACCCACCAGAGTTTTCAGTATCATTCCCACTTGCTATGCTGGGGGGGGGGTCATTTTCCTCTCCTCCTCCGCCTCCTCCTCTTCCTCCGCCTCCTCCTCTTCCTCCTCCTCCTCCCTTCCCGTCTTTTTCCTCATCACCCCTGTCCTCCCTCCTTCCCACACCTCCATCCCCCCTACTCCATAGTCTGTGGCCCACAAGCTGTTCCCCCTATGCTACGCCGTGCGCGCGCGAACGTCAAAAATCGGTGATCGAGGAGGAGTAAGACGACAAATGATGCGCTGGTCCTTCTTGCGGCGGCCATATGTTTGCGAAAATCAGTCGGGCGTTGGTAGAACTGGGTTTAATGGAACCTGGTTTAGTGATCTGTACCGGGGGCGCCCCCCCGTCCCATTTCCACTAACCGGAATTGCCGTCACCCGAAAAAACACCATCTATGGCAAACCTGGTTTAGTGATTCTGGCCAATTCAAAGGCTCCGGGGCCCTACCACTAACGGGGTCCCCTTACCCGGGGTCCTGGCCATACCCGAATCAGGTTGTAGCGAGTGAACCACTTAAGTCTAATCAACACAATCGTGGGCTGTGCAACGCTGCGATATGACCCTGAATTCAATAACTTTTCAACCGGGGTTATCTAGTCACTAAGGAAACCAAGAGGTATCGATACCTCTACTCCTCAGACCCAGATCTCTCCCGGGTTAGTTCAGACCAGGATTTCGAGGCGAATCCAGCGGTGGCGACAAGGGCCTCCCAGGAGGCCCACGCCAGCGAAAATGACCTACTTAGGAGGAGGGCGAAGCCTTTCGGATAAGTATCGATCTGGCGCCTGATTGCGCCAGCCAATGATACAGAAGCGCACGTGTCATGGCCTGGTGGTCCGCGTTTGCGGGCTGCGCGGTGCACGACAACCGTGGCTGTCCTCATCGTCTTTGCCTTCTGGGTGCAGCACAGGGGAGGCTGGGCATGTGCGTGAGGGCAGCTTTGCGCAGGATAGAGGGAAGCGAAAGCGAGTGATAGGGCGAGCTGTTGTAAGAGAGAGAGAGAGAGAGAGTGAGTGAGTGAGTGAGTGAGAGGGAGAGAGGGAGAGAGGGGGGGAGAGAGAGAGAGAGAGAGAGAGAGAGAAAGAGAGAGAGACGGCCGACATCCCAACTGATGTCCGCGCCGCACTCCTCATTGGGCACCGAGCCCATTCTTTGCGCAAGCGGCCCACTTTCGTGCATCCCAACTGATGCTCGGGGGTTGAGTCGGGCTCGGGGTGTCACGTCCCCGCGCTGCTGATGTGCTCGAGAAGATCGAGGTGCAGTTGGACGCCTCCTTCCCCTGGAGGAAGACAGAGCGCGAGACGGATCCAATTGAGTGGGCTGCGGGGTGAATGCGCATTGGAGTCGACTCCGACTGGCTCAGCAACGCGGCCCAGAACATGCAGAACCCGTCTGTCACCAACTCGACGGCGGCGATCATGGCCAACCCCAACCACCCAGACGCAGAGAGGCTGAAACAGGCGGTTGCTCTCAAGAACGCGCCCAAGCAGGGTTGGAAAAGCCTCTGCCTCGCCCCGTTCGGGGGCAGCCCGGAGCTTCTGCAGAATTTCTTCTCTACGAAGGCGAGTGATGGAGACAAGACGGTGTCTGCCATCGCTATGAAATGCCTCAGTTACTTCCTCATCATGGAAAAGCAGTTCACCAACATCAGTACTGCCAAGGCGAACTCTCCCGGCAAGATCAAAGGGCAGCGCCTGGAAATGATGCCTGCGATCTTTGCGGGCATTAAGTCCATGAAGAGAAAGGCGAAAAAGGCATCTGCCCGCAGGCCGCTGGAGATGGCCCTGATGCAGAGGGGCTTCTCCCTTGACTGGCAGCTCAGCTTGACACGCCTCGCGGCCACCCCGTTCGTGTTCACAACTGGGCCGGGCCAGGTGAGCCAGTTCCCGGCCAAGCGTCTCCGGACGGAGTCAGGCCAGCCGGTGCTCTCGAGTATCCCGCAGGCGTCTGGCGGCGGCAGGGCACCAGCCTCTCGCAACAACAGCCGGCCGCCTATGCCTCCAGCTCCGGTCCAGGTTCAGGCGCCGCAGCAGGCGGGCCCGGCCGGCGGCCCTGGCAACGGCGACAAAAAGGCAGCCGCTGCCGCCATCCTGAGCGACCTCACTGGGATGGTCGGCCGCCAGCAGCCTGCGGCCATCCAGGCCTACGTGGACCAGAAGTTCAAGGGCGCTCCGGCGGAGCAGCACGGCATCCGGAGCGTCCTCGGCAATTGGTGCCGCCACCGCATCCTGAACAGCCGCCAGGTGATCAAGCACTCGCGCGCGCAATGCCGCGCGGAGGGGGGCAAGCCGAGCTCGCCGTGCTCGCGGTGCGGCGCGCGCGGGATCATGGCCTACTGCTGGCCTGAGGATTGCCCCGATGCGCGCTGGGTGCACCGCAGTCCATGCCCCCCCCCCCCTCGTCCGTCCCCGTCTTCGCTTCCCCCCTCCCGCCCCTCCCAGCGCAGAGCCCCGCGCGCCACCAGTGCGTGCAGTTTGACACGTCTCAGTGCGACAGTCCACCTTTGTGACTCTCGTGTATTTTTAAATTTTGGACGCCTGCAGCACTCGCTCTTGCGGAGCTCCAGCTCAGGAAAATACGGGAGAACAGGTTGGGTCCTTCGCCCGGCCTTCTTTTTGCCCCCCCCCTCGGGGTGAATCCAGCCTCGGCGATCTCGGGTCCGACTCCCTCAGATTTGGATCTGATTCCCCAGGATTTTGGGTCCGACTCCCCAAGATTTTGGGGCAGTTTCCCTTAGATTTTGGGTCCGACTGCCTAAGATTTTGGGTTTGGTTTCCCATGATTTTGGGTCTGACCCCCCGACGAATGTGGGTAAAGCGAAAGTATGTCCGACCACGAGCAAACGGCAACCGAGCCGACCTCTCCACCAGGCCCCGAGCAGCGTCCTGGCCCGGTTGGCCCCGACGGTCCCCTGTGGATCTGGGGGGGTGGGTCCGGTATCTCCTGGGGCCTCCAGGGCGTCTCAAAAACGTGGCCGGTCATCAGGAAACGGGTGTGGTCGATACCGCATTCGTGAGATTCAGTCGTTGCCCCGCACGCGGGATTCATTGTCTGCACGGTTGCGCTTGCATGATCTGGCACGGGCCCGTTCCGTAGCCTTTTGGGCTCAAGAGTCGCCAGGGATCCAAGACGGTATGCATTTCATACATGCAGTCCCTGGGTCGCAACCGCCATGGGGTGTGCGCTTAGTCGAACAATCCGCGGTGGCCCCGAGCGGGCTTCCGTCTGCCCCACGGCCATCTGTGCTCACCATGGTGCCGGTTTCTTCGGCGACAGGCGCGTCTGCGGCGCCTGGTGTGCAGCATCGAGATTCGGTCTTGGCCGAATTTCGTTTTCAACCCGTCCAGGACGGGTTATCTCAAGCACCTACGCTGTCATCCGCTGCATCTTCCTCTCGCGAGGATCTCTTCGCCAAGGCCCGGGATATTCTTGGGGCCGGTTGGGGGCCTTCGACCAAGCAAACCTACGCGAACGCCATCGGGCTTCACGTGCACGGTTTGGAGCGCATTGTTGACGCCACCTTCCTTCCAGTAGATTCGGTGGATAAATCCCACCAGCCCTTTGGGCGTGAGTGGTTTAGCGAGCTCTCTCTGTCCTCAACCCCCCTTCTTCCCCTTCGGGGAGGGGTTTACCCCTCCCCCTACCCCCTCCCCCTGGACCTGGAGAGGGAGTTCCGAGTGGTGTCAAGGAGGGTCAATTTCGGTTTCTGGGAGGGCTAAAAAACGACGACCCTCACGAGGATTCTGGCCCCGAGGGGGGGGGGGAGTTTGGTGCCTCAGCTCGTCTTTGACGCAACAATCATTGATTTTACTAAGGTTTTGGCCCCATTTTGGACTTCTGAGGGGGCAGCGTTCCCCTTCCTTCATAGCAAAATCATTGATTTTACGCAGGTTTTGGGCTCATTTTTGACAAATCAGGGAGCAACGCTCATTTGCGCTTCTCAGGAGGTCGCAAGAGGCTC